AGTTTCTATGATGAACGTACACATAGGAAAACCTTGACATCCGTATTCGGCTCGTCGTCCTCTTTCATTTTATACCAAAATCTCAAAAACGAAAATTTCCGCGTACGCTGCCTTTAATCAATTGCGATAACACCAGCTGATCCTGCTCTGCTGGTTTGAACGGCTTCGCCCTTCTGTTTTGGCCCTTCTATTCCTATTATTTCTCCAGTCGGAGTGGAGGATGAGTGTAGGATGAGGTACACACTGCGCAACACCGGACAGCACACGTGCCCGACAGCTCACACCTCCGACGGCGCACATGCGCGCATGCCGGACGGCGAACCATGTTTACGCTTCAAATTGTGAGCACGCACTGGACAGGTGTGGTCCAGGGTTGTGCGTTAGAGAAATTTGTGATTTCGCTAACTCGCTAATTCGTTAATTTGGGCAAAAAAATCGCCGTTACGTTAAATGCGTTAACTTGTTGATTCGTTACATTAACTCAGGCAGCATAGAGGCTTATTCGTAGCGGAAATCAAGCAGGTTACAGTTAAAGGAAGATTTTCGAGAGCAAAACACAAGATCAAAAGTAGTGCGGACCATTGTGACTGAAATCAATACCAGAAATCGAGAGTAGCAATCCACTTAACCAAGAGAAAGGAAATTCGGAAGATGTTGAGGATTTTGGGTATTTTCGAAGGCGTTGGTCGCTTAAAGTGCACTCATACTCAGATGGGGACGCGTCTGACAGACGCCTGGTACTGAGCTGTGGAGGGTTCAAGCGAACTTCTCCAGCCGAGCTTTCTGCGGAATAAACCTAGAAATGATTGAGAGTTCCACAGCCCTATTAGAGACCATCGTCTTTTCTCAGACTGCAAGCTCGAATGAGACTTCATGCGGATATGAGAAGCTTATCGTGAAACGGAGATGCGTCCGCGTCTCGATTTATTGATCACTCCTATCCTTAAAGGCAGTGTACCACGAAATCTGAGTTTCTGCACCTTTGGTACCAATCGACGCCGTTTGGTCCCTTGTATCCACTGCAGAAGTTTCGAGAGAAAATTACCAGCCAAATATCAGAACAGCATCATGTTTTTAAAGCTAATGTACGAGCGATGCTGAACGAAGACATGTCAAAACAGATCTACCAAACCAATAACCATTCATTCATTCTGCTTTGACACATCATCCCCATATATAACTCGTACATCAGTTCTAAAATAAGATGCTGTTCCGCAATTTTTCTCAAAAAAAGGGCTGAGAGCTTTATGTTAATAGTTTTGCAATGGATGGAAGGAACCAAAAGGCGTCGATTGGTACCAAATGTACAAAAACTCAGATTTCGTGGTACGATGCCTTTACACATCCAGACGCACCTGCGTCGACGGGGGCGCGTCTGAGTATGAATGCATCTTTAGTGCCTAGATGCTTATGACACTACCGTAGCCTACGTGACCTACGAAAGGAATTCGCCCTAGGGCGCGTTTTTGCAAAATCAACGAATCTGAAACTAACGGATTTGAGACACCTTTCGTTAATCCGTTTGTCTATAACGAACGGCCAAAAATTGCCGTTAATCGTTAATGCGTTAATTCGTTACCGTTATAACACACAACCCTGGTGTGGTCCCATCGTACACATTGGCTAAAGAGCTCAATTCCTTATAATAAACTCTACTAATGCTCAGCAGCCTTGATATTGATGATACAATTTTTTCCATTACTTCATTACTTCGTCACGTTCCACACGTTGAGAAACGAAATGGATCGGAAAAATACTAACACTCTGACCGTATGTGGCCCCTTTCAGAGCTCGATCGCGCTCCGCGGCAATAGGGGGTGGGGGGAGAGCAGGAGTGACTTGCCGCCGAGCGAATTCCACCAGCCGCGGCGTTTGCCGCCAGCGAGAGAAAAATGCTGCCGATTATTCCTTGCCGCAGCTTGCTGGCTCGGCCACTCTGGAAAACCCCATTTAGAGTTGGCGAGCTCGCCGAGCTTGCGCACTGTGCAAGAAACTAGAGACTCTCTTGCGAGCAGGGTCAAGCGTAGTTGCGATAGTCGCAAAGGGGTCGAACTGGGATGTTGCTCGAGGGGAGGGGTCGCCACTGAGTTGATGCAGAATCAAATGAGATGGCAGCAGTGGCGGTCCGAGGGGGGGG